AAGGCGTGTATATTTTTCGTCGAATAAACGCCTCCCCAACCTTAAATTACTAAACAAATCTAATGGAAGCAACATCATTCTTAACACATTCTAATAATGTTTTACTAAAGTAGAATTACTTTTTTTTCAAACCTGGTTGGGATCAAATAACACATTTTGACGGTATGTTGTGTTGAGGTCCCACATTTACAGTAAAAAATTAAGGGCCGTTTATTTGAGAATCTATTTTACACACAAAAAAATAAACACACTTGAATAAAAGCCCCTCATAAACACTTGTGAACAATAAACGCCGCGGGGCGTTTATTTGAATACACATGGTAGGCCTACAAGTTCCCATTGACTTTTAAAATGCAAATGTATGTACAAATTGATAAAAAGAATATAAGTCTATGTAAATGATAATGGAACATAATTTATTTATGCGTCAATTGGCGCGGACTATTAACCGTTTGTTCATTTGAAAAACGTTAATAGACACAATAGGAAATTGAGATATTGGTGTTTTATTTTAGTTCTGCAATGCAATCGTTATTGAAGGGGGCCCTCTAACGACAAAACGTATTTAGATTTTAGTTACTATACTTCCAGTTATTAAATTGTGATTGGTGATAATTGCTTAACTATTTGTGAGCGCAAAACAGCTGTATGAGGTAAGTATCTGCGTGTTAGATACTGTGATAATATTGGTAGCCTGTATGGTCTGGTCAGTCGTTTTGATAACAAGAGGTAAAACTGAATTATATTTTTCTATTCGAGTACTGTTATTATATATCTATATTATGTAGGCGGCCTATATATATACATACATATATATATATATATATNATATATATATATATATATATATATATATATATATATATATATATATATATGTATATATATATTAATGTATAATATCGTCCTTTAATAACGAAGTGGCGAATATCGAAAATTGAATTTTGAGAAAAACGCATTTAAAGAACTCCTCGATTATAGCATAATATAGGCCTATACTAATTGTGCATAAAATATATGATCAGGAAAATTATTGGTTATTGTTCTTTATGTATCACAAATAATATGTAAGGGAGTCTAAATATACTATTTTTAGAATATCACATACGGGATTTTAAATGACCGCCACGATCAATGGAATTTTGCTCATCATATGTTGGCTTCTAATCAATGTATTGTTGCAGTTTCAACATATATATTAAACAAGTTAAACTTTACCGTTTTCTTGATTGTCATAAAGCGGTCATCAGTATTTTTAAATGGCAGCCACCCTTACCTATTCACGTCAAATCATTATTTTTACTCATAATGTGTGTCATTTTTGGGCTGAAAATATATTATCAATTATGCATTCTGATTTTGTTATAAGAATTTTACTTTTTAATTTGGAAAGTTTATCAATTACATGAAGTCAAGTCACCATCCAATTATCATAATGATGATCTAATTTTCAATTATAATAAACTAACATCGAATTATTTTAGAAGGACCCTCAACATCCAAACATTTACGACGATAGTTAAAGAACACACACTTAACCAATAATGCATATATTAAATGGTTTATTATCATATTCACTTAACAATAATTAAGGCACTGTTAGAGAGTTAGCATGCCTGTTCGATTGGGTCTTACCTATTCACGTCAAGTCATTAATAGGAAGTTTTCGCAAGAGTACGAAAACGATAACGAATACGGTTACGTCATAAAATTTGTAGACAACCCTTTCCCTGCAGTAGCGTATCTGTCACAACGTAGGCAATTCATGCCTTTTGCATGAATCAAGGATCATATTCAGCTCATACAGCATATTGTCAAGAATGTGGCACGAATAACGATAATGATTATGACGTATTCGTATTCGTTATCGTTTTCGTAAGGTTGCGAAAACTCCCTAAAAAATACCTTATTAAAATGACGTAAAGTAATTTGCAAATAATTTACAGACTTTCCCTCCAAGGCTTTTATGATCAAATGATATCAAAAGTGCTATTGTCATTAAATAAATAATTGCACTCGCAATAGTTTACTCATATATTGCACACTTCGTCTTTATCAAGCAATTTAAACGAATAATAATTAATTATACAGATAAATAAAATAATAACTGTCATCCTGACGTAGTCTGCCACTTAAATAAAAATCTGTTGCTATGCAACCATGAAAGATGCGTATTAATTTATAAACAACACAACTGATAACACATGTTTATATCGATAACAGTTAAACTAATCAATACAAATCGATCATTTTAAATTACAGCTCCCAAAATAATTTAAAATTATTTTGTTTTCGGGACTTTTCTGCAATAAGAATAAATACAAGATATATTTTGGTTAGTAATTTTAATTTCTAATTTCTTAATTTTACAGTTTCAGTTAAGCAATAGGCCTATACAAAATTCTTAATTTAACGATAAGCTTTTTTTAAATACCAACATTGATATTAAGTTTATATTACAACACTATAATAAATAAGAAAATATATTTAAAAGTATAAATAAGTGAATGGTCATAATAAAAAGCAGTTCAGTAGCACTGGGTTTACTCCAAACTCTTTAGTCTTTAACAATATATTATGGAATGGTTTAAATAATATTTAGAGTGAATAAATAGACTTTTTCCGAAAATAGTTGAATTCTTATAATTTCTGCAGCATGTACTGTTAACAATAAGTTAATCTAGTATTATCAAGGTCTTATGCGCGAAATTCCGGCGTGGACTGCTGGAAGGTACTCACTTAACTGCCTCAACGCGACGTAATCTCGTTTTGTCCTCTCTGTTTCATCCGCTGATGGTGGAAACCAAACTTGCGCATCAATCGGAGCTAGGTTTGTTCCATCTGGAAGGGTAGAGCTTCTAATCTGTCAACATAAAGTTAAAGTTCAAAATGAATCCTAGATATATGTACAGACTGTGGAATGTCATCTTGCTTAGACGAGTCACGAAGCAGTCACCAACAACTTACCTGCATTCATTTGACTTGCTGTTCAATAAGATCATCAGCATTCGTCTCAGACTCCACTGTCAGAATAGGATGTATATGTTGTGTATACTGTATACATAATCGGATAATTCCTTTTAACTCTCATTACAACATACGTTGCAATTTGGAAAAATATAGTCTAGGCATAATATGCCAAGTATGTTTATATACGGATTAAAATTAATCACACAAGTGTAATAGATGCACATTCTTGTTAATAACTACTTACAATGTTATCTAGTTGTATAACAATGTCTCGAACTTTCCTACGAAGTGATTCAAAGCGGGTTCTGTATGCAAAATGACCTCGATAGCTATCTTCATCAGACACCACATATTGGAGGGCAGTGTCAAATACGTTCATATTCTCTCGATACGTTGCAAGAATATCTTGAGCCTAACATACAAAACATATAATAATAATAATAATAATAACGATGTTTAAAGTGCAAACATCACCACCAAAAATAGGTGCTCAAGGCGCAGTGTCAAAACACCAGGAAGAGAACAAACATGTTAATTTTTATTTTATTTTAATTTATTAAAGAAAATTAAGCAGCACAAGAAATAAAATATCAAAAATTACCTTCACATGAAACAATAATAATAATAACAATAACATCGATATTAGTTTTATCCTAAAAATATATGAAAGCGTACACTACTGTAAGATTTTCATTGCCAGGTAATTATGAATTTTATATCTTTAATATAATCTTGAATAAAGTTATATATAATACCGGTAGTTAATAATGATTAATGATGGTAATAATTGTGATAGGTAGCAGTTCCATCACTACAACGTGATTACAAAGAGCAGAACAAAATTAAATTAAATGGACAATTACATCGACCTAATTTGAAATGAAGAGGCTAAGGAACCTCTTCTAATTGCACCAGCAGTAAAAAAACTGCTAGATTGGTTGACATTAACTTTAACAGAGATATGGATAAGCTACCAACAACAATTATGTAACAGCTTTGGGCTTAAACAAATATAACATTTTAGGAACTGTATAAATGGTATATAACAAGAAAATTTTTCGTATAAACTTTAAAGGATTCTAACTGTAATTTATTTACAGTTCCTCTCACGCGCCAATTACAAACAAACATCAAAGGTATAGAAAATAGACCAAGAGACTTGCCAGAATATCATTAACTATGTTGCAAGTAAAGTCTATATTGAAATGTTTTGACTGGTTGTAACATTGCTAAATAAAATTAACTTACGACGGCAGTTTCTCGAAGAAGAAGTGGAAAGCTATGGATACTTGGTACACCTAAAATAATCCAAATTTGATCAACGTCGTTGCCTCTAATTCGCTCATTCCTCTGAAAAAAGGTAGATATTTCGGCTTTAAATAAAAGCAGGGTGATATCAAAAGAGAAAACCATATTTCTTTATTGGAAAGTGTTTTTTTTTAAATTATTGAATAATGTATTATATCTGTTAAATATTAATGCATTCTTGATCTTGTTTACAGGTAATTAAATACAACGTACAAAATTAAGCATAACCGTGTTCACTTCATTAGCAGCAGTTAATACCGACGAAAGCAGGATGGTGTATTGTTGAGCCAGTGTTGCGATTGGAAGGCTTGCTGTTGTTAGGGATGAGGTTACCGTTTCCGTGGTAATAGTTGTTGACGGGAATGTTGGCGCAGCCACTGCTACCGGGACCGCAATACATGTAGAAACGATAAGTAGGCCTACAAGAAAAAATATCTAATATTAAATAAATTTCGAATGAATTTGTAATAATAATAATAATCAGAAGGTAGTATAATATCGTGCGGTAAACGTTGATGAAGGTAATAATAACAATGATGATGATGATGATTATGATGATGATGATAATGATGCCGATGGGGATGATATGATGATTAAATGAGGATGATAGTAATGATAATGATGATGACTGCGATGATGATAATAATGATGATAATAACAATAATAATAAATAATAAATGATAATAACAACAATAACATTACTATCGTATGTCGGCCTGTCTACCCTTTCATTGATGCCAAACTTGGAAATTTGCCAGCGTGACTGCTTTACGGCTTGTCTAATATCTAAATTCGTACTATTAAACGTACTATACGGATGGTCGTTACCACACAACCGGAATTGTGTACAAATATACTGAATAACTACTCTGTGTGATACCGAGTATGTCATCATCTAATATTAAATGTATGTTAGAATTGTTGTGGTGCCCTGATTTTATATAGGATTACAGTTGCTCAATACGGAATTCACTCCTCTCTAATTTAATTAAATTTACACATTTTCTTGAATACCGGTACTTCACACTTCCTATCTCAATTTAACACTGTTGCACTAGCGCACTAAAATAAACTACATGCATACAGTATAGTCCAATAATTTTCTCTCAGTTATAATGTATACCTCCTGTCTTGATATATAGGCTTACACAATGAATGATATAACTTAAGACTACGAATTTGCTTGTAATTATTCAATTCAAAATGATATCTTTGATAAAAATGAACTATAAACAAGTACGTTTAGGCACATTTAAGTTCATTTCAAAACATACTGCAACATTCGTTTCATATCTACAGGCTTAATTATAAAAGAGAGAAAAAAAAAATTAAATCATAACGCTTTAAACACGTGCCAATGAATCTACTTTGACTTAAGCTCAGTGGAAAATTCACTTTCGGTTCAAGTTAGGCCTATATAAACAATAGCAGAGTGCAAAATAATATGAAATTATATTAATTTAAAGTTAATATAAGTTTTCCTAGTTTAAGGTGGCACTCAAATATTTGGTTTACCTAATTGAAGCTTTCTTAATTAATTTTCCTTCAAATTGATATAAAATTTTAAAGAAATACAATTACTTACTTAGGTACATGATGTTTTAGTGACAATTTATCCAAATGATGTTCAGAATATAAGACGCTCCACGGTTTCAGAAAGCAAATGTGCTTCTTGATCGCTGTGGTATTTACTTTGCAAACATTTCATCGTCTTTATATAGCAAAAGAAACCGGAAGCAACTCCAACGTAACGTATACCGATTTCTTAATTGCACTGGAAGCGTGTCAAACGAACGAGCCCAGTTCCTCATGGGAGTAAGCACTTGTTGCTCGCCTTTCTGATACTTCACTATCATCTCGTCGAATTCCCACGAGGACGAAGATCGGCAATCCGGCGGAGTTAACATTCCGTAGCGTGCCTGCTCATGTAGGTGTGATCTTTACTCTTTTCATTGATTCGCTCACTTTGGAGTTGAATGGTTTCAAGTGGATTAATGCATGAGATTGATCAAGTTGGTTGGCGGTCAAGTATTATATTATCTTAAGATTAATTTTCCTCACACCTGGTCCTTCTGCCAAGCGAATTCATCGACGTCATTACCCCTAAGCTTGTAGATTTAAGCAATTCGTACTCTTTTTATCTGTAAACGTGATTACAACGAACCTGTTTATTATTTATGGACAAAGTTTCCGAAGCTATATTCACCGCAATCGGAAACTAATAATAATCACAATTTTGACGAATAATTACAGGAAAAGCAATGAAGGTCTATTATATTAAATAGGGCCTAAATATAACTAAAGTTATCAAATTTGCTTTTGTTATTGATAAAAGATTATTCTTTTCATATAATTTTATGATATTAAATATAATCAACTCAACCTAAAAGTACATGCATTACCACTGTCCGCGTCAAACCACAAATGCCATGAACTTATAGGGGACATCGTTTCATTCTGTTGCTAATGCCCTTTGATGGAGCGAAATTACCTTACTTTACCAAGTTTTAATGCTAAACATGTGTAAGTTAATAGACATATTTTCTTCGATTAATGTACACAAAATATCCTTCCAATCTCAGTATCCTTCGTGAATAAACTCTCATCGGGGGTTAACCGCAAAAGTTATTGCACCCCAGCAACTCCTGTCAAAGTTGAAATCAGCCTTAAAACTGTGATAGAAATAATCATTTAGTTACCGTACTTAATACCGTGGACGTAGAACCCATTCGCGCTTAATACACTAATTATTGTTTTCACACTTTGGTGATTGCGTTATTCATAATAATCGTTCTTAAAAAGGGTCTTACATTCTTACGGATTATGTTCAATGTTATATCTTATCCATAATATCCCGAATTAGCTGTCATCTTGTGAGGTAGTCATCGAGCACTGAATGTGTTCGGATCACGTCCATAATCTGACAAGCAGTTATTCATCTAACTATATCACATCATTCTCTAATTATCGTCATATTAACATCGTATGATGTGACAAAGACTATGATGTGTTGTTTAGTGCTCAATAAATAGCAAGCAAATGTTGCCGCCTTCATTAAAAGTCTGTTCACCCTTAATAGCCCTTTATACTATTATGAATCGGCTAATTCTATAATCAGTGGGAATATTTCATCAAACAATATACAGAAAGTATGTGGCCATATTGTTAGTGCCTGAAGGTCAGTGGAGAAGTTCTAACCATTCTTTCTCTTTCGAGAGGGATCAGCGTATGTTTGTAGATTCACGGTACCTTGCCGCGGAATTTTGAAAATACGGAAACTCATACGGCTAAATCCGAGTTAAGTATCAAACTAAGATACAATTTAAATTGTTTAAAGGTCTTTATTAAAGTGTTTTTAATCGTTGATGGCCTAATGTGTGGTTAACAAAGACTGCCGAACGAGGATGCAATTCGTGTGAGCGATATCGATACCTGTGTGAATGACTTGAAGAGCGATATTCCAGAATCATCAATACTCCAACACGTTAAATGTTGTCATTCAAACAACATATAGAACGAAATACGAAATTACAACAGCATTTTTAACACTAACTCTTAAAAAAAATGTATTCCCTATGGCATAGTGGACTTCATCAGCAGACTGTGACAACACACAGCAACATACAACAACTAAACTTCTAACTTATAACTGAATTTATAGTAGACTAAAAATGTTTAACTATTATTTGCTATTGTGTATATTTTTAATGCATTTTCTTTATTGGTTTACTGTAACTACTAATCGGCTTGTTAAGGCCTTATTATTTTTACACTTTTTCGAACTTCTAATTTTAAGCTTATAATAAAAATTACTTGCACTCGTGGGTGTTTTCGGGGTAAAGTAGTGGGTAGCGTTCCTAATTTACAAACCAATATCACATATAATGATTTGAACTTCAAGTGGAACCTGCCAATGAACTTAGCCTGATACAACACTTACACAATAACTAGGCTGCCGTACTATTTTACTATAATGCATAGGCGGTGACATTAGCAGATTGAGGAGCAGAGGTCTTTTAAGACATTGAAACATCTGTCGTCGGACCAAACGGGAATCTTTATGTTCTTACAAATGGCCATATTACGCGCAAAAACTTTTTAGAACAGCTTGAAACGGACTAGAATTGACCACTGAGGCAAAAACTTGTTTATAGTAACACGTTAAACAAATGGTTTTTTAATGAGTTTTGACATTGGTATAAAAAAAAATCCGGTAAAAAATTAAATTTCCAACTCTTTGTCGGACAGCTTATGCCACTCCTCTGTCGAGCAACTCCTAGCGCCTCTACTTTTCTTATATCTGATGCATATTTTAAAACCATCATCTAGTTTGTGGTTACGCCATAATTTAGCATTATAGTTAACATATATGCACAGTCATCTATATAATCACTTTTAATTAAAGTCTGGCAATATTTTCATTACATAATTACTATTCATAGAGCACCACAAATGACCGGTACAACACCTGTGACTAGGGCTACTTCACAAGTTAGTCCTAGATTAACGTAGGCGTAAAGCCACTATCACGCATGTCTGTCTATTGGTACTTTTGTAAGTAAACCTCGTATTTGTAGAGATAATCTACTAATGAGAATTAAATTTGTGGTTGTTTAGGAAGTACATACTTACGGACATGTGTCGTTAAGCTTTATATGTTCAAGCCACTTGTGACTTGGTATGATTAATGTGCGGCATGGAGAAAGTTTGCTTTGGCTTTCTGTGTAGCTAAATTTGAATTGTTTAGAATGAACAAAGCACAGATTCGCATCATGTTACAGTAGCCGATTTTCCGGATCTAATGAATACCAAATATTGGCTATATAATTATAATACCCACCTAAATTACGTCATGATTACGTAATTTAGATGGGTATTATACCGTATATAAATACGTCATGATTACGTCATGATGAAATTAATCGTAATTGCGTCATGATGAAGTTAATCCGTTCAAAATACTTCAAAAAATGTAATATGAAAATTGAAGGCAATTTCAGTAGCGTGCTTTCGAGAATAGGACCTTTCGAGACTGCGTACGCGTAGAAACAAGAATGCACCTTGACCAAAACAACAGGTCTATTTGAAAACTTTCCCTTACGATTAACGGGCAGTCTCATTGTTCATCAAACAGCATGCCCATCGGTACCTTACAAAGCCCATTATACTGTCAGCGAAAGCCAGTAGTATTTTATAGGTCTGCTAGTCAACAGAGCGTCTTATAAAGTTGGATTAATTATAATATAATGACGGATATGATAGGCCTATTAACTATCATTAAAGTTTGTAGAATGGGCACCGTCAGACATTGAAGGCCACCCTTCAAAAGTTCACATCTACAAACAGGTTTTGGAAACGCCACTGAATGTTCCCCTTTGGGAAATCATAATGAATATTAAGTGATATCATAAATGGTAGTTATTTTTTTTATAATCCAAAAGGGAAATCTTATTTTCCGCCGATTTTTTTTATGTTGTTTGAGGAAATTAAGCATTACAACGTCATTCGGTTCGTAGGCCTAAGTCAGGGTAGACCTCAAATGAACTATATTTTAAGCACATTTCCTTAAGTTAATTCAGTCACCTCTTCAATACCAAAATGTTGATTTAGGGTCACGAACGAATGTCTAGGGGAGAACAATATAATCTAAAGACTGGTATTTTGCAGTGACTAACTGATTTTTTTTTCTGTCTTTTGTTGGTGCATCCTATAATTATTTATATGTTCGTTAAATATAGGCCTATTCAGAATCTTCTGCTACTACTACCAGTATTGCTGCTGATACTACTAAATTAATAGGGCGTGATCTTTTTTACTAAAAATAAGATCATATTACTGAGGAAAACTATCAACAGGATATGAGTTCCAAAGTGAACATCACACCATTACACCAGATGGTATTGGTGAGTTTTGGTAGAGCCGAGTTTCACTCTCAAAGGCATTGGAAGAAGGAACCACCTACTTGAGGAACACTTGCGAAAAATCTGTAAAACAAACTGATGTAGGCTAGGGTTTCATACTTTTTGTCTTTCCAAGAAGACCTACACATATTTTAACAAGTTACACAATAAACAATATCATCACATACTAGTTTGTCTTTTTATTTACCATATTTTTCTCCCATATAACTATTAAAATATATTGAAATAAGAAATTGAAAACTGTTTTAGTAGGCGTTTGGAATCGAAAAGAAATTTGAAACTTTGAAACTGTCCAATCAAGTGACATAATAATCCCAAAGTAGTTACGTAGCACACTCCACTCTCTTTCTATATTACTTTCAAGTGTCTTAACACTAAACGTGACGAAATCAAAATTCGCTGAAACATCTGACGAAATATTCTTTTTCTTAATTACGATATAATATTTTAGTCAAATTATAGTTTTAAAATGAAACCTCTTACTTACTACATAACGTTTACTAGGTCGAAGTTTAGGCTGTTAAAGTTAACATCAAGCACTGTCAAATTGTAATGTATGCAAATGTTGCAAAATGTTGAAAGAAAATGAGAGGAATCATTGGTGGGGTTGCAGACTCAACAGGTCTGTGAAAAAATTTTGACGATATACTTATGAGCGTGGAGGAATTTATACACGATAACAATTGCGTGATATCTCAGCTGCTGTCACAGAGATATTACTCTCTCAGGAATTTATTTCTTTCACAATTAAAGAGGGTGAGAGAAGTCTCTGTAAATCCACATCTTGTTTGAGGTGTTATAATAGG